CGATGAGAGAGAACTGTACTTCTCAACTCAATGCCAATATTATTATTATTTGTGTTAATGCTGGTTCCTAAATAAATAGTAATAAAATAAAACATTGGTAGTGGCCCGTAAATATTTTGTAAATTTTTGTGGAATTCGTTATTTTGTACACAGAACATAGAAAATTAAGATTTTCTTTTTTAAGTACCACCCTAATGCACATATATAAACTTCAATATCAATGCACGTACAGAAATATATTTATGTAGGTATGTATGTGTATGTGCTATTTTTTCTATACCACATTCAAGTATTTGTGTTTTGTGAAATTCCTGCGCTGTTTTTCTGTTGGGTTTAGTGATTTATTTCCATTTTGCTAAATGCGACTTTCATTAAAAATCCAGTCGTCATATGGCATGAATGCTTGGAATTGTAGGAAGCTGGCGCGCGTGTATGCGTGTATCGTATGTATGTACATCCTTATGTGAGTGTGTGGTTTTTATGGAATGTGTCGCCAAAAACATAAACGTCGAAAAATGGGTGCAATGTGTAAAAAGCAAAATTAATTACAAATGCGTGAAAATTATGGTATTCTTACATATGTGGGAGTCACATGTTTCAAAACTGGCGCATAAAACGTGACAACGGTCTTATTAATGTGGTTATGGGAAATATATTCCCAAAAAAAAAAATTTTTATTTGACCAATGTGACAACAATTCGATTAAAGCATTTACGTTTTTGTACGTAAATATATACGAGTATATATGCTTGTTGTTTATACGCATTAATGTATGTGTCTACGTAAAATAAATTTTGTATACTAAGTGGTGGTTATTATAGTGAGAATTATTTTTATTGAAAATTGATTGAATTGATGTTCGGTTTTGCAGTTGCAGCGCCTTCAAACACTTTTCGAACTGTAAAACAATGACTACATTCGATTATGATTTGATGGTCAATTCCGGTTAATTAAACTTTTTGATTCTACGCTAATTGACCTCATGTGGTTGAGTGCAAGAAAAAACTTTCTTCACATTACAGCCCGACGTTTCGCTAACCTTCTTAGCTTCCTCAGGGGCGATTTATTTATTAAAAACATCAACAAAAGAAACAAGAAAAATATGCAAAACCTTAAAATATGCACATTGGATGTTAACATTTTACAAACAATAATAAAAACCACAGTGTTTGACTATTTCGAAAATTACATACATTTATATAAACACACTATAATAACGATACATTTATCTGGTCACACTAAACTTAGAGCTAGTTGGTGATACCATCCTTTTGTGGTACACTTGTCATACTAATTGCCTGTTACAAACATAATAGGTAAGCAGCCGCGATATCGTCTATGTCTTCTTTTTTGTTCATTGGTTTATCCCTGTTTTGTAGGATTCGCAGGCAAGTGTTTATATAAATGGATGTAATTTTCGAAATTGTCAAACACTGTGATTTTTATTATTGTTTGTAAAATGTTCACATCCAATGTGCATATTTTAATGTTTTGCATATTTTTCTGTTTCTTTTGTTGATGTTTTTAATAAAGAAATCGCCCCTGAGGAAGCTAAGAAGGTTAGCGAAACTTCGGGCTGTAATGTGAAGCAAGTATTTTCTTGCACTCAACCACATGAGGCCAATTAGCCTAGAATCCAAAAAGTTTAATGACTACATTCTATTCTACGCATACCTATAATTCGGGTATCGAATTTCAAGCAAATCGGACCATAAATAAGACTTTTGGAATAGATAGGTCCCTGGTCCACCTATCAATAGAAAGTATTCTATATGTTAATCCAGGCAATAAGCTACCTGCATGCCAAATTTCAAGCAAATCGAACCATAAATAAGATTTTTTTCGAATTGACTGGTCCCTGGCCCACTTAACGGAAAAAATTGATCCTATATGCTAATCTAGGCAGAAGGCTATCTACGTACTAAATGCAGTTTTTAGCGTAGCTCGACCCCTACGCCTCCTATCGGAAAAATTAAAACTTTGTGCACTCCTCCTTCTAAACACCTTTCGAATCAGTTATGAAACATAAGAGAAAATTGTTCCGATGTTGATTCATGCTCACAATGAATTTCACAATTATCCGCAAATTTCCAAGTTTCACAACGAATTTTCCACATTTACATTGTCCAAAATCATTAACACATGCGATAAAATGCAAAATTTCGTCGAAAAAATTCCAATTTATCGCGTTCTGTCGGATTTTACCGATTTTCAACTTAGAATTTTCTATTTTTCCATTCGAAAGCCATTCCGAAGGAATTGCACACTTAATTTCATACAAAAAAAAAATCAATTTTCGATTTTCCCAATTTCACAGCTTTCCCCAAAATTTTCTTTCGTAAGAACTTTGTCCTGGCAATTTCGAACAACCAAAAAAAAAAAAACCTAGCCAAATCAGCCCAACCGTTCTCAATTTATGAATTACTATATGTAAATTTTTCACACCATTTTTATATATCGTCATTTAAAGTGCAAGAGCGCGTATCAACTAAATGCGAAACCTCGTATCAGCAAAATGCAAAACCGCGTATGTGAAGTTGTAGAAATTATTTTTTAAAGCGTAAAAACAATCATATTTCAAAATGGTTCTATTTTTTTTAAACAATCGCATTTCTGGCTAGTATATTTCAGGACGAATGGCTAAGGATTGAGCCAAGAGCTTGTGTGAGCAAATCCAATTTTTGGCAGCCAGACCACGTTAAAAAACAATGTCGCAAAATTTTTTTGGAGTATTTTAAAATTTAAAAAAGGCTCCTTTGACACTTGAAAAACTTTGAGGCAAATCAAAAAGTAATAACATGCACTTCGGTGTGTATTTTTTATGTATGTATATACACTATATGTATAGAAAATTTATTTTCTAACTACGAATAACTTTTTGTTATTTCCATATGGCATTGTAGTAAGTGCTTCGTAACCTACTGAGTAAAAAACCATACTAGTGACCCTGGCACATTGCAGCTGAATATGTTTATGTATTTAAATTTTGCTTCAGTTGCATAAATATTTTCTGAAATAAACTTAACCAAATAAAATAAAACAACACAATGTTTATGCAAAACATTAAACATATTTTAATATACTTTTGTAGTTCATTTTACTTTTCGCTCAGCACATGTGTAATTCACTGGAAATTTTATTCAACTTACGACTCAAAACATGTACGAATACTACATATGTACCAAAGTTATAACAGCTTGGTTTATTCGCTCTTGAAAAGTAAACAGTTAGGCCGTAGAAGTCTGAAGCTTTATGCCGCCTTCAAACGACGGATAATTTTTTTCGACTAACTTTAATAAAAAAATCTAGTTTTTTTTTTGCTGGAAGGACGCGTATATGTATGTCTGTATTTACTTACGTATGTTGACGCATGCCAAAGTGCAATCCTTTTCAAGCTCCATTTTTGCACACTTTCAGCAAGTTTCGAACTCAAATCCAACTTCCAATATGGCAAGCATAAACACAATAGGCCTTACTCTCTATATGTATTTTTGTATGTCTTTACATATTTTTGTGCATAAGCATTTGCAAGCAGTCTGAAGTAAATGCAGTATATTTTTTTTTTTTTTGAATTTCGCTCATATTTGCCGCTCTGTCGCATATGAAAGTGCCAGCATTTCCAAACAGTTATTTGAAGAGTTTTTTGGTGCAGATTTTTCGCTCTTGCAACGCTGTGGAAAAAAGGGCACATTTGCATACATCGGTATTTTAAATGTAAACCAATTTTGGCGGTCGTGTAAATTTCCAGTGGTTTCTGCTTGACCTAAAAGTAAGAACCCTCGAATACTTGGTTCTAAGGTCCAATAAAAATAAAATGTTGTAAGTGAGAAGTTAAACGACGTCATAAAAGCGTTCTCGTGATTTTTGGCATGACATTACTGAGATGAAAGTCTCTTTATGACCTTTGTCACTTGGATCTTTAATACCTCTACAATGGTTGCGTCAGCTTTCTGATTTCAGAGAAGCTCATTGATTTTCATCGAATGATCACGAAGAGCAGAAAAAAATGTTGAGTAAACCAAGGCTTCAGTACCGGTCTACTAAATTTGGTTGACCTTGTTGCCGGGTGTTGCCGGGTGAATTCCGGCGCTTGTTCATAAGAATCGAGGCTAGCTGCCCGCGTTCGTAGCCTTTTCATCACATTTTTATGTTTGGGTTAAAATATTGTAGCATATCTACGATATCTGCTTGTTTACATGGTTTAAAGGATACTAATCTTAGTTATATCTTTTCCCCTGAATCTATACTTTTACCAATTTCGGCGCTTTACTGGTTCATTGAGTGATGTTTATGATACCCCGATTGTTTACTTTCCCAATGATGAATACAGGCTCGATACTCATCAATGGCTTTACTCATTTTTGACTCCAGAAGCGAGTACATTTTTTTCGATTCGCAGAAGAGTATCTTCCTGCACTCGCCTCGGCCCAAAAACCACCTACAGGAGATTTACCAAACGCTGTTCGCTGAGTGCTGAGCCTACTAGTGGACGCCACGGGACACTCGTTCATCAAGATGGTATTGTAACTACCCCGAACAGGCTCACCAGACTTATGGCAAAGAGTGCTCGGCGCACAGTTGCAAAAGGCTTTTCAACGTATTTAAATTGTTGTGGATAGGGCTGCCTTTAGATTTCCATTACTAAGCGGTACCTCGATACTATATTCTTCTGATTATCGACTTCCATCCCTGGTCCGATTAACATCTAAATTAGGAAAATGTTTTTCTAGCAGCGGAAAACCTCTGAGTATATTTGTGCTATGAAAAAGGTTCATATAAAATCAAAAATATTATTACTAAACTTGGATGGCTTGAAAGATGCATGCTGATTACACTTCAGTGTCGCCTAGGCATTACAGGGTTAATACCAATTTATTTTGATAAAGTATACAAACAGTTTTATATTAAGTAATTTCCTTCGCCACGAGGCAATTTTTTATTGAAATATTTCAATACATAAAGTAGAATAAAATAAATAGTGAATAAATAAATAGCTAATAGTTAATTTACCCTAAATAAATAAATAAAATAGTTTTTGTAGCATTCTGACCTGTCGAAGCAATTAAAAGTAAATACGAATGGATAAGTAAACACCTTTTTGTAATTAAATATTTTATAAAACTAATTTAGGTAAATACTAATACATCTGCGTGAAATCTCTTTTGCAAATATTTGTCATTATGGTCAGGTTTTTGCAATTAAAATCCATTAATTTATGTTATGGACATCGGTCCTTACACATTCCACCAAAATACGCACATGCATAAAATTCTTGTGTATATATAAATTTAACTAAATAAGCAGTTTGCGGCGAAGTTTTACAGCCTCACCACTTCAACACCTTGGGTTGTAAATAGCGATTCCGCAGCTAATTTCAGTTTCTCATTAACTAATTTAGCGATTTTAGGTGTGCGCCGCCAAACAAATTCACGTGTGCGGTCATGATTGTCCTTGCTCTCGACCTCCACCTGTCAAAACGACGAGAGGGAAAGGTAAAGGGGATTTAATAAATTGTACGTAGCATAAATAATATCCAATATTGAATGTAAAAATGAAATTGTGAAAAACGGGTTGTAGACAGCAACGTGCTGGCAGTTTATAACTGCCATATGCACCTACATACATACACATCTAACTATGAATATTTAGGGGATTTGAATTCAAAAATGCTGAATAAAACAAAAATCTCGTCAATCGACAATCTTTTTCACATATTTTTTTTCAACATTTGCTCACCCAACTAACCTGTTTCGGCTGCTGCACCTTAATGGACATCAATGTGGCGCGATCGTTGACAACACTAAATTTGATGCGCCCAATCATCTCGTTTGTACGCGCTGTAGCGCTTTTCACACTATGCACGCTACCGCGTTTGAATGACTTTTCCACGCGCAAAGTCAATGGACCCAAAGTGAATTTGGCCTTTATGGTTGAGTTGGAGCCTTCCGGATCGGCGACCACTTTCACATTGCCGACACGCTTCAATGAAGCCAGCCCAGAGAGGCTGCCTTCAGCTTTTTGCAGCTTTTCAACTTCCTTGCCAATGGCGACGTTGTTGTTATTGCCGTTACTTTTCGTGTTCTGTTTTAGTTTTGAACCTGCGCTGTTGTTGTTGTTGTTGTGGGCATTGCTGGTAGTGGAATGATTTTTTTTGGTATGTGTCTTGTGCGCTTTGTTTGAAGTTTTCTTTTGACTCTCAGCCCTATTAGCGTCCCCATTTAATACGGTGCGCATTTCCGGTGAATTGGCGGCCGTGTCGAGGGCGTCGCCGGCATTTGCCGGTAATTTAGCATCACCGACAGTCGACATTTTTTCAGCAGCCACTGCTTTGATGCTTTGCTCCTGTTGTAATTGTAACTGTTGCAGTTGTTCCTGTAATTTGCTTTGTGTCTTGGCCTCACTCATTTCCATGCGGCGTGGCTCTTCATCCAGAGAGCGTGGCTCTGATTTAGTATTTTTTCTGTGAAGAAAGAGAGAGTGAGAGAGGATTAAAATAGAGGGAGTTAACGCAATCAAGTTGAAATTTAATTTTAATTCTAACAGAGATCTTTACAAGGCACTTCAAATAAACAGACACTTTCTTTGCTGATACATTGATACAAAAGCAGAACACTCATAACCGAGCTCTGAGAACCCTGCAGGTAAAATAAGAGATATGGCATTTAGTGTCTTTTTCTTATATAGGTTTTAAAATTTATCTGCCCTTTAAATACATTTTTTCAAAACAAAGCTTGTGTTTAAAGCGCAGATAAATTTTAAAACCTACTTAAGAAAACGGCCTTTGGGCGTTTAAAAAAAATTTGCAACTTTTAGGCTTGATTACTTTTTAATGAAAAAAGTGGTGGGCTTTGCTATCATTTTTGAACCGATCCGGACAATGCGGAGTGATAAAGCAAACCATCAAATTCTCTTGCAAAGAGGTTAAAATTGTAGTCTCTAGATGTCAGCAAGAAAAAAAAGGTTGTTATGATAACATTTTTACAAGTTTTTTGCCTAGATTCTCCTTAAGTTGAGCGGTGTGCTGATATGTTAAATATACATACGTACATTAGATTAGTTAAGGTTGAGGTGTGCATAGGTTCCGCGTAACCGTGACATCATTTTCACGAAATAAACATTGAAAAGTGACCACCATCGATTAATTCAGGTATGATTCGGGGAAGTTGTGTTAGAAATAAGTGAAATAAACTAATAAACTGCACTTCAGGGACGGTAAAATAACACAAAAAACGCCGAAACGCGTTAACTTAATTTTGGGCCGTAGACTGCGGATCTGTATACCCTTTTTCTAAAATAGGTAATTTTTCCAAGATATTTTCATTTTAAGCTTGGATTGTAAATGAAAAAAAAATCGAAGTTCAAAAAATTTGCTAAATAAAATACTCACATGGGTAATATTCTTTCCTGCTCATATTTCATAAAAAAATTATTAGGAAGAGCCTGCCTGAAACTATACAAAAAAGCAAATAAGGAAATGGATGTATAGAATTGACAACAACAACCACGCTGTCG